AAGGTTTAAAATGCTCCTAGGTTTTGGGGCATTCCTAGATTTGGTCTCATATTTCGGTGCGATGAAGTACCAACCTCATTCATATTATTAAAAGTAAATCCATGAGGTCTTATACTCATATATGGACCTGCAAACTTTGTTACGGGGCTTCCCATAGTTTGCATAATATTTGTCATTATAGTTCCAGACCCTATTGATTGGGTATTTGTTAACGACCATTGACTTTGTTCATTATTGTCCATTATGAACTTGCCCCCCAGTATTTGGTGGATTTGGACTATTAGGAGCCCCACTATTACTTTGATTATTTTGTGGATTTTGATTCATTCTTACTATTCGTACGCTCCCTAATCTCATACACTTTTGAACTAGCCAAATTTTGTGTGTGTTTAACACACATGTCCTATTAGGCATGCCAATTTGTTACTGGTGAAATTTGATTTTATTTCGATTCTCAGAGACTGTGAATGTTAACCAATGTTCAAACACTGTGAATTTTTTTTATTTTGGCTAGCAAACGAAGTTTTTTCAATCAAAATGTAAGAGATAATAAATTTAAGTACGAAACACTGAAAATGAATTTAAAAACATACAAACATCAATACTGCTCAAATAAATAACTATATCTAATTGAAAGAAATGTTGCTTAACAATAATGGATAAATAAATTGTATTCATTAAAATTAAAAAGAAAAAACAAATTTATTATTAAAACTTCAAAACGTTTAAATAGACAAAAGTAAAATTAAAAAGTAAACGATATAAAATGAAAGACTACGTGAACTCATGGAAATGAGAATACATAAAAAATTAGAGAAAGATAAAATAAAGAGGAAATGACTATGTGAAACTTTGATTAAATTAACTTTAAGGAAGTACAAAGAGTTAAATAAATGATAAAACGAAGAAGTAATACACAAATTTAAATTGCATAAAAATAAATTATCAAGGAAAATACAGAAAACGGTAACATAGATCAATGAAAGCGGAAACCCAGATTGCTAGAAATCTCATGATTGTTGTCATTTTCCCGTAGATTTGTACAAGAAATTTCTGATACCAAAATGAATTTCTCCTAACCTCCAACGCTTAATTCTATTTATAATCTACTTAACATAACCACCTAAAACGGTTAAAAAATCGCTACCCAATATTCCCATGTGCAGAGATAACCACTTTCTTCATTTTTGGTCTCAGACATCGAATATTTGGATTTTATGGTGCCTATCTCCTTCAATCTTCTCCTCCAACTTAACTTTTATTCTCAATACTTCATTTTTGTAGATTTTATCCCAATTTAGCCATCGAATTTTTTCCTGTCCACTTTTCAATTCATGTATCAATATTTCCACCAACACACTCCAATTGATAATCTTGATAAATTGTCTTTTACTAGAAGGGAGTCTTTCACAAATGTTCAAGGCTATATTAGAGACTTATGTATCTCATTAATACCTGACATAACCTTTTCTGTGCAACAACTCTCAGTTTCTTGCTAAGACTACAATTGCTCACTACAAAAATGTAACAATTAGAATTCTCAGGTATATTAAAGGAGCTCCTTCTTGGTTTATTTTTTCTCTTCCAACACTTTTGCTCATCTAAAAGCCTTTTGTGATAGTGAGTGGGGCACCTACAGTTATTCAAGACACTCAGTGACTAGTTTTAGTGTATATCTTGGGAATTCCTTCATATCATGAAAATAAAAGCAAGGGACAATATCAAAGAGTTCTTGTGAAGGGGAATATAGGACAATGGTCACTGTTACATATAAATTCAATGACTAACTTATCTTCTTCAAGATTTCAAAGCCTCTTTTGAGCAGTCATCTCTTTTATAATGTGACAATGACAATATACGTTACACCAAATCCAGTGTTCCACGAACACATGAAACACATAAAATAGAATGTCATATTGTTAGGGAAAAACTGAAGAAGGGTCTCTTTCATTCGCTTCCCATTCCACCATAGAGCAATTGGCAGACATCTATACCAAAGCCTTAAGTCCTCATCAATATTTGCTCCCCAGGTTGCGGGGTATATCAAAGGATATGGACACAAGGCTTCTGGAAGGAAGCTAATACCAATTTTTTATTTTGTGTTTTCTGACATAATCAATTTGAAATTTTTTATTTTTATTCTTAGCTTATCCTGTTTGTCTAGGATCTAGCTTTTATTAGTTCTTTGCTTCACATTTCTCTTTTCGGTTAGACCTAGAATAGTTATTTTGCTTGTATATAATCAGCCTCTTTGCATTGGTTTTCAACGAGAGAGAAATATTCATTATCATATTTTTCCCTTCATTCTTCTCTCTCGTTCATCTTTCTGTTTTTTCTATTAAAGTCTAAATGCAATATATTATGATACTTAAACTTAAATTTTAATAAAATACAATGTTTATTGTATTTTATTAAAATTTTAGTATATCGTTGAGCTGTCTCTCAGCACTATACTCTGATGTGGCCTGCAAATGTAATTTTAGTTGGAAGTGAAAATAATTGGGAATAAAGTACAAGGACATACATAGTAGAACTAACAAAAACTTATCAAATATAGAAGTATTAAAATTTATAGCTATGAAAAACAACTTGTGTACCCTTTTCTTGAATGAAAATCTGGGTGTTTGAATCTGAGTCCCAGAACAAACTCTTAGGTCAAACCCAAGGGAGTCTACACAGATAAGTTGTGCCTCCTACAATAAATTGTAATCGTAGTGATTATACTATTCTACGGAAAAAAAAAAAAAAAACTTGTGTAGATTCTATATTATACAATTTTGATAGATTAAAAAACAAGAATAGACAAATTATCACGCGATATAAATATTTTAGTGCTTGCTTGTTAAATAAAATGATAAAATTTTAGTTGAATTTGTTTTTTATGCTGTAATTCAATTATCAACTGGTAAAGTCTTCCTGGATATCCACATAAAAATCTATGTTGTAGTATAGTTATAAATAGTCTTGTTCTTGAAGTATATCGGTAGAAATCCAACCCTAAGAATAGTGTACGAAAAAAATTATTAAAAAGAATCTTAATGCTGACAAAAATGAATCCCACAAACCAATATTAATATTTAAAGAAAAAAATCCGGATGGATAAATTTTTATATATCAATATGATTCAGTTAAAAAGTAAATTTGTATTAGAGATTTGTTAAATTTAATGAATTTTCACGTATCAATAATAATGTGTATATAGTTTATATGGACAGAAAGTAGTTTGGGACCTGAGATTATTATGTTTGGTAGAATTTGGGAGGTGGAACGAGGTCAAGAGAAGACACATTTGGTCGGGAAGACCGTGAAATTTACGGGACAACACAAAATTGAATAACGCATCTGATGGACCACGACCATAGAATTGGGCCCGCAACACCCAAGGAGGCCCATTGGGCCAACGAAAAGAAAAGGCATACACAACGGATATTAATAATTTTATGACGCTTCACCACACCACAATTCTCATCCCCTTCCTTTCCGAACCCACGATCAGTGAGAGAATCACCCGCACACGCTCTCTCTCTCTCACGCGCTCCTATATCTTCTCCTCCACCGTCGCTCACTCCAACCGCCACAACACCGTCCGCATCACATGGTCAGTTTTTTCTATTTTTCTCTTTATCCTTTTTCTGTTCGTTTTCCGGTTTCTTCTCACGCATCAACAACTAAATCCGACAATTTCAATTATTTTTCATTTTTTATTTTAATATTGTTGCGTTGAATTTTGTGAGCTGGATTCATATTTGATCTGATCGTTGAACTTGAACGGTGCCTTTTTGTGTGTTTTTTGGAAATATAATAAACCTGATGAATACTGGAGGTGGATGGATCAACCATGATATTATGTCTTGATCAATGTTGTAAATGATTAATTTTGTCATCATCAGTGATGCCCATTTCCTTTGGAAAGTTAAATAAAACTGTTGTATAAACTTGATTAGCTTTTCGAATTTCACCCTGAAATTTTCTTAAAACATTTTGTGCACGCCTAATTGTATCCGTGTTCCAATAGCTGGTTAATTTCCAAACCAAATAATAAATTTAGTAAATATACTACACATCCAAAGGTGATATAGTTAGGATATGTTTGGAGAATTTTTTATTACTAGATAAAATATAAAAGGTGTTTTTTTCTTTTTTGTAAATTTAAATTAATTTATGAATGACTAAAAATATTAAGTTCTTGAGGAGTTAATATGAATTTATTTTTACAACTTATATTACATTGGAGTTATTATTATTATTATTATTATTATTATTATTATTATTATTATTATTATTATTATTATTATTATTAAAAGTGCTCATGAAGGAGAAATATATTAAATCATTGATTAATATCTATTAGGTTTTCCATGATGACGTGTTAAATTAATGTTCTAAATTATATTAGAAAATTAATTTGAATGTTGATTATTGGTTTGCTATCGGTTATAATTTTAAAAACTCAATCTAATAATAGTACAGAGAAAAAGAAAACGTCTTTGGTCTTATTATAAATGTCCTTTTTATACTTACAAATTAAATAAAATTTGAGAGATAATGTTTTGTTTGAAAATTGTGTTACAAATTTTTAGTTAGACCCACTCTTGCATTAAATATTTTCAGATGGTTTTGATTTAATGTGAATTAGGCAAATTACTAATAAATTTAATATTGTTTAATATTTAATTATAAATATTTTGTTCGTAAAAATGAGAGAAAAATATTTAATTATGAACTAGAAAAAATTGAATTAAAAATGGTTATTTTTCAAACAAAAAATTTATAAATATTATTAACTTTTTTTATACAAACAATACAATATATCTGCATATTCCAGAATATTTTGAAATATGCAATAATGATAAAAATCTAATTTGAACAAAAGTTAACTTATGAAGTATTCAAAATTTTAAATAAAATTTAATTATACACAGATCCACACCAAAACATCCAAGATCCAACATTATCGGCTGACTTCGAAAATTCGAATCAATTAAACTTTTTGCTTTTTAATGACACATATCCATCTGAAAGCGCCACCTCCAGTTCACTCCTCCTTCACCGTGAACCCAGACTGTTGCAACCTCACCCGGCAAGACAAGCACCACTGCAAGGTGCCTCTGCCGCCAACCCACGCCGCGGGCAAACTCGCCCGTGAAGGTCGAACCCTGGGCCAGGGGATCTGGCCTTAGCCCTCTTTTGCTTTTGCTTGATTTTGTCTTATATTTTTGCCTGTTTCTGATAGGGGATTGCATTTCTGATTGGGGTTCTTGTTTCTCGTGACTTAGTTTGTTTGATTTCGCATATGTTACTCCTGCTTGTCCGATTTGGGGTCCATCAGATTCTGGTTGGGGTAGTTGTTTTAAGTCGAATGATGTGGTCCTCCTTTGGCCTCATTTCTTGTTTGGAATTGGTGTTTGAGTCTGATCAGGGATATTGGATTGTGGAACTATATTTGTGTTTATTGTTGTTCTACAAGTTGTACAAGATTGTATCTGGACTGTGTTGAACTGTTTTGGACCCTGTAGCTTCCCTTGTAATCATTATAAGATTTTCTTATTCTTGTTTGGAACTATATATAATGCATACATAATCTAAAATTAGTGATTTATTGATGTATTGAGTGATCCATGTTCAGCATTTGAATGAGTTTCACTTTGGCGTTCAACTAACACAATTTTTCCTCCTTTATCTGATCCTGAAATTGGGCATGTAACCGGAAATCCTAGTTGTTGTTATCATAGTTGCATTGAATCTGTATTTGATACTGACACTTGTACAATATACTTGCATTCACATATTTTACTAATCAGCTCCTTTTTTTTTTATTTTTTTTATTTATGAATATTCACCATGCGTAATGTCCTTTTATTCACAAAAATCTAAGATAAAATTTAACTCTCATTCTCACTGATTCTCTCCCGTAAAGCATGTCCTCTCTTACAATCTTGTTTTCTTCAAAAAATTTAACAAAATGACAGCTTTTATGTGTAAATATGTATTTATGTTGTAATACATTCATAATACCTGGTAATGAGATCTTTGTTTAGCAGGTAACATAGATTGATGTTCATTCAATATGTGAATTGCAAATTGCATTTTTAAGCTCTGTTTTTTTTTTTTTGCTTAATGACCACTTGACCTAACTGTAATGTAACATAAATGAAAAGCCATTTATTTTAGATAAGTACATAAAGAAAATGAATTTTTCTGATTTTCTTAGAACAGGTAACAAGCATTGATTTTATGTCACCTTAATATACTGTTTATGTTGTGTTGTGGTACAGTGAAGCTGGAATATTAAAAATCTTCTGAATGCAAAAATTGGAATCAGAGACTAGTTAAATTGTTCTTATGCTTATATTCATGTCGATTTGCTATGAAAGCATTTTTCTCTTTAGTATTGGTTGTATTGGCAAAAATTTCTCATAGTTACATGTAGTCAATAATTTGTAAAAGCATAAAGAACTCATTGAGTATGCAAAAAAATAATAAATCTTAACACTACTATTTTTATGTCCTCGGAATTCTTTATATCCTCATGATATTCTGTTTTCCATTTTAAAGTTGTTCAGGTTCTCAAGATGCTTGCAATGACATATTCTCCTCTATTTATTGCTAATACATTTGAAGCAATTAAAATACCAGCAAGTATACAAGGCACTGTGGTGAGATACTAAGGACTATGATTATTTATTTCTCGAAACCAAAATTTTTAGGATGACATACTTTTAACATCAAAAGTTTTAGCTCTAGGAAATGAAACACCAATTGAACTCGTTTAAATTTCATTTTCTAATATCAGGTCTGTGCTGCAAAAGGTCCAAGACCAAGATATCCCCGAGTTTGGAAGACTCATAAAAGAATTGGGACCATTTCTAAGGCCGATAAGCTTGTTAAGTCTGTAAGTACTTTCTTATAGCATTATCTCTATTACTAGAGAGATAATAGAGGACATGTTGAGCATAAAACCATGTGTTAGATTACACCATGGATGCTTAATTATACAGGCTTATTTCATTCATTACACATGATTAGAGGATATTTTGTTTTCCCTAAAGGAGTATAATAAGATTTAAAATATTATGATTTGATTCTCAGTGTATAAGTCATATGTGCCCAACTTGTTACAAATATAATTAATTCATGGTCCCCTTAAGAATTTTGTAATGACATTTGCCAACCTATCAGAAAATTTGACAAAACTTTTCATAATGTCCCCAAACTTAATCTTTTTCCTATGAAGAAATGACAATCAAGTTCAATTTGGTTTCTAATGAAATATTAGATTTGAAACAATATGAAAAAACAACTTGCTCATCTCAAATGAGTGTTATCTGATTAGTATCTTCAAAATTGAGATAGTTGTTTCAACCACATGAGTTCAAATGTTACTAATGTCATGGCTTTGTATTCTATTTCAGCAGTTGACCTCGCTAGCACACTTGTTTCTTACTCTTCCAAAAGATCAGATTGCTACCAATCAACACAATATGAAAATGTGAGTCACTTGTGGCTAGGTGAACCAACCCAATCAACATCAAAATATCCAACAATTTTAGAATGTCTCGTCTTCATAAATTAGGCCTTTTCTTGGAAATCTTTTAACATTCTTAAAAATCTGAATAACTGCATCCCAGTGGTCTTAATAAGGTGGATTAAGGAACTGAGTGATCACACTCACTTCAAAAGCAATATCTAGATGAGTGACAGTGAGATAATTCAGTGTTCAACTAGCCTTCTTTATCCCACAGGATCCGATAAGGGCTCCCCTTGATCATTTAGAAACTTAAATTCAAGTCCATAGAAGTGTCTCCTGGCTTGACATTGAGAAGTCCAGTTTCTTCCAAGTGATCAAGTGTATACTTCCGCCGGAAAATCACCAAATCATCCTTGGATTGAGCGATTTTTTATACCTAGAAAAAGCCTACCATGGTCCTTAGTCTGGAACTATTGACAAAGATACCATTTCAAGCTACTTAACTTGTTGATCACTCCCGTAATGACAATATCATATACATAGGAGATGAGTGTTCCTACATTGGAACCTCAGATTGTGCAATCCCTTTACACATATCAATCAGTCTTGACCTACTGATCCTCTCACACGAGCTCCTAAGGCAGTTGCTGATGCTATAGTAGAGGCCATAAAAGACTCTTATCATTGTCATCATCTATACAAGATTAAATCCATTCTCCTGAATTTTCCCCAAATTCACTGGCCCTAGCACATTTTTTCCCAGAGGCACCAGTCATAGCATTTTTCAGATTCACTGGGCTTGACATTTTCTCAAATTTTATGTTTTATTATTTTTTATTCCGGGGTGAAATAAATTATTAGCTTGGAACTTTTTTTCACCCCAAATAAAAATACAAAACAGAAAAATTGAGATAAAGTCAGAGTCTAATTTGGAAAATGTACAGAAAGATTGAGATAAAGTAAGAGTCTAATTTGGAAAATGTACAGAAAGATTGAGATAGAGTAAGAGTCTAATTTGGAAAATGTTGGGGCCAATGCATATGGTAAAAACCATTGCATCTGGGACAGAGTCGATGAACAATAACTACGAATTAGAGTGACAAACAAAATTAGGCACAAAAGAAAGGTGACTACTTAGAGTTTATAAAATCATGTATGAAAATACACCACGGATACATGATTATATAGGATTATTGTATTGATTAGCATAATTAAATTAGAGGATATTTTATTTCCCCTACATAAGATAATAATGTCTATAAACTAAATTTATTACAAGAAGATTCAGAATATTATGATTTGATTCTCAACACCCTCTATTCATTCCTGTCAGAAATAACCTGATAATGTAAGCTTCAGTTTTGTTTTCTCTTGGAAGTTGTGGCCTTGTCATGTATTGCAGAAACTTTCATACTTTTTTTCTTGGTTGTTTTTTATTTCTGAAAAAGTAGTTTTTCTAATGTCTTGTGCAGATTAAGGAGCTGTCAAATGTAAAAGAAGAAGTTTATGGAGCTCTTGATGCCTATGTTGCTTGGGAATTAGAGTTCCCATTAATTACAGTGAAGAAGGCACTCAAGACCCTAGAATTGGAACAAGAGTGGAAGCGGGTAATACAGGTACTTCTAAAGTAGCAATGTAACATGTTTTTTTTAAATATTCTTTGTTTTGTATACATTCCATCTAGGGATAGCCTTTGAACTAACATCCGGTTATGCAAATTACACATGGTTCTATAGGTAACAAAGTGGATGTTAAGCAAAGGTCAAGGAAAGACAATGGGAAGCTATTTTACATTAATTAATGCTTTAGTACTTGATGACCGACTTGAGGAAGCTGAAGAAATTTGGACAAAGTTATTAATGCAGTATATGGAAAGTTTGCCTCGTAGATTTTTCGATAAAATGATATCTATCTACCATAAGAGGGGCATGCATGAAAATATGTTTGAGGTATTATGATTTGCCACACTATTAATTTATACTATTTACTCAGTAACATTGCTGAGTAGTATTTGTCAACTAAACATGTCCCTATATTAATATGACTAGAAGATACTTTATTTGAAGGTACTTCAGACCTAACACGTTATGGATATTCACTTCTTGATTTCTCCTGTAGATATTTGCAGACATGGAAGAGCTTGCTATGCGACCTAGTATTTCTACTGTCAAAATGATTGGAGAAGTGTTCAAAGAGCTGGGTATGCTAGACAAATACCAGAAGTTACATGCAAAATATCCACCACCACAATGGGAATATAGATACAGCAGAGGAAAACGTATAAGAGTCAAAGTGCAAGTTCAATCTAGACAGGCCAACACATACACCCAAAGGCTTGAGAACGTTGAACCAGACTCGGACTTGAACAATAATTATGGTTCTTCTGAAAAAACTTCAGCGATAATTGACGACCGGCAACACAGACAGGAAAATGATGTAATGTCCATGGAACCTGAGCAAATTTCAGACATAAAGGAGAATTTTAGATCTGAAGAGACTTCAGAGATAATTGATGACCAGCAACTCAGGCAGGATGCCGATGTAACATTCATGGAACTTGAACAAATTTTAGACGACTCATATGACAGTAAGGAACATATTTTAGATGTATAATTGGAGAAAGATGTTATAACACCTCTATCAGATGAGTTTCTGTTAGCAGTTAAATGTTAATCATTAGTTGGAATCGTGTTTCCATGTCCATCTCCTTCAAGTTGTTCGGAGGTTAGAGTAAGACACTCTGGAAATAGAACAAGCAAATCATGCTTTTAAATTTTCAGAATGTGAGATTGAGAATCTGCTAATGGTCGTTTCATTTGAGGATAACAAATATATCCCTTAACATGCCGGCAATGAAACAACTCAAACATCCTTCAAGAAGCCAAAGAATCGAGGATCTACCAAGCCAGTATCAATGCATAATTAAAAGTGGTGCTATGCCTTGAAAATTTCCGAGATGCGTAATTTATATCGAGATTGGGTGAATTCTGTGCATTAAGAGACTTTGATTAAGCTATTATGAAGGTTGGTGTTATATTGTTGCTCATTTGTATATTATTCAAGTTCTAATTTATTGATAACTTTCAAAATCCAGACTACCGCGTGGCTTGATATTTATTGGACCATCGGTTGCATAAATTTGTCTACCATAGTTCAATTTTCATGTCTTTTTGTCCTTATACTCTACTACCATATTGTCCATCATTTACATGCCATGTGATTTTTTTTTTTAGTTATCCATAAGTCAAAAGATATTTTTGAATAAGGTTGTCCTTCATTTACATGTCGTGAGATTGTGATTATTGTAGTTGGTATGACGACATTTTGTATACTACGGGAATTAAATGCAACATTCCTGTACTGTTGAATGTAGGTGTTATGTTGAAAAAAAAAAACAATGAGATACCTTTTATAAATTAGTTTATGTATAGTTTTATTTATATTTACTGAAAAGGAGACCATTTACGATTTTCATGCAGAAATAGTAATGAAGATGATATTTCTTATGAACTTTATCGTAAGTTAGGTTACTCATGTTTGCATGACGTAACCATGAATCAGATGTGGTTATTATATGCACACAATTTTTTATATTTTTTCATATAACTACTCTATAGTTTTATTTAATAATAGAATAATGATAAACATAAAATTAACTTTTATAAAAAAAATTTAATATAACTTTTCTATAAAAGAAATTTTGACTTGTGTATGATTTGATTTTAATTTATGGAGAAATTAATTTATGTATTTTTTTCTTATATTTTCCTTTATGGTAAAGGTTGTTCATGCCTTTAATACAATTTTATTTTAGTATTTAAATACATCTTCCAAACAATTTAATAAATATTAATATAAAAGGTGGAATTTTTATACATGTATAGGTTTATAAAACAAAATATTAATAGTACAACATGATGTATATTTTAAAATGTGGTAGAATTTTTATATTAGATTAACGGGTTAATTTTGGTCTAATTAAAAAAAATTATTAACGTGTTTATATTAAAATAATTAATTAAAAATATTTAAATAAAAATAAAAATATAGTTTTAAATTTAAATTATATCAATAAAATTAATTTTTATTTAAGATATAATGATTTAATATATAAATTATAAGATAATAGATTTATTTAATAAAAAATAAGACTTAAAAAATTATTTTTTCTTATTATTTATTTTTCAATAATTTATTAATTTAAAATAATTTAATTAATCTTAACCATTAGATCTTACTTATTATAAAATATTTATTCTAATATTTATTCGTAAATTTCTTATTAAATTAATTTATAATATATTTTTTAATAAAATAAAATTATTTTTATTTTTATTTAAAAAATAATTATTATTATATAAAACGGATCAGTCTATAAACTTATGAATTAATCTAATCTAAGTCTATATAGGTGATAGTCTAAACGAAACAAACAAAAATAGACTTAATCTTATTTATGCTATAAATATTTTGAACTAATTTTATCTATTTCTTAAATCTTTTGGCCATTAAGTCTCTTTTATCATCTCTATGTATTGATAATTTATCAAGATAAAAAATTCTAATTAATGTGTAACATGTTATGTTTTGTGAAAATTGGTGTAATCATTTCTTTCAAATAAATTTAATCATAAAAGATATACTCCTCTTATTTTTTTTATCAAAATAATTATAAATCTTTAAACATATTTAACATGTGAACTTCGTAGAATTATCACATAGAATACTAAATCATGGTGTCTTTATTCAGCATCAGAAAATGCCCATATACAAAATATTGTTGCAAATTTTTAAACTAATTTTTGCATCCAAATAACATTTTTGTTGACAAAAATATTACTTTATTTTTTATTTGTTAAACTCATAATTGGCATATTTTAATTCATTTTACTTTTTTTCTAATTTGAAATTTATTTGAGTCCTAAAATGGGATAAAATTGAATTTCAATTAAAGACTCTATCAAGAAAATATTGGTCATGATAACAGAAAAAGGAATATTTAAGAAATAAGGAAAGCATGTGTCTTGACTAAACATGATTCATATCTTGAATGCTCACAATTATTATCCAAATTTGATTAATTCTCAAATCTTTTCAAACATAATTAAGAAAAAATAAATATTGTAATAAATGTTCTTTCAAATATATATACCTTATTTGATAATCTTGAAACAAAATTTATTAGATTTCACGTTGAATCAAGATAATATTGGTTTCTCTAAGATTTTTTTGAGTGCTTAAATGGATCAAAGCTATTTTAGGATACTTATTAATGGATAAAAGACTTTGTGTGCAACTTGAAAAGAAAGCACATAAAGGGTTCCATGAGAAATCTTAAAACTTTAAAATCATAGAAGTAGTATGTTGTAAATTAAGGGGTATTGCAAAACTTAGAATGTGTTCTCACAAGCTATATAGACTGTTTAAGAGAACGTGTTCTCACACGTTGTAGAAGACCATTTCAGAGAAATACGTTGCAGAAGATTGTTTCAGAGAACGTGTTATCACACGTTGCAGCAGAAGACCGTTTAAGAGAACATGTTATCACACGTTGCAGAAGACTATTTCAGAGAATATTGCCGAAAACTGTTTCAGAGAAAGTTGCAGAAAACTATTTCAGAGAACGTTGCAGAAGACTATTTCAGAGAACATTACAGAAGACTGTTTCAGAGAACTTTGCAGAAGACTGTTTCAGAGAACGTTTCAGAGAAAGTTGCAGAAGACTATTTCAGAGAACGTTGCAGAAGACTGAAGCACTTGTTGGATTTGATGAAGACATATAGAGTTTATAGAGTTTAGTTTGTGGGTGTGTAGGTGAATAGGTTATAGGTTTAGAATTTTATCTCTTGATTGTTCAATAGATCTTGTGATAAGCGCCTTTAAATGATGCATCTCATTGAACTTATTTTACTGCATGAAAAACCAACCTTTAAGCATTAAAAGAACAAACTGAGTTTTTCAATCTGTTAAAAAGAAGTTTCAATCTGTTAAAATCACTTAAAATAGGAAATGTTCATATGTTGTCAAAATTTTAATTGATTGAATTGCAGAATCAACAGGTTAAAATGTTCTTAAATGATTTTTCCATATTAAAGGTTTCGCAATTTTAATCTGTTGAAATCAAGTTCAATCTGTTGAAACAAAGAGATGTTATTTTTCACTTTGAAGTATCTCAGAATTTCAATATGTTGAAATGAGTTTTAATCTGTTGAAACAGAGAGATCATTTTTTATTCTAAGGTATCACAGGATTTCAATCTGTTGAAATAAGTTCTAATTGATTGAAACAGAGAGCTATCATTTTTTTTAAAACTGTTTCAATCCATTGAAAACTCGAAACAACCGATTGAATTAGTTTTAAATGAAATCAATCGATTGAATCATCATTTTAATCGATTGAAAAATATTCTGATCGATCACAACTCAATTCTGATCGATCATATCTGGTTCTGATCGGTCATAAAGCTATTCTGATCGGTCATCTGCTACTCCAAGTCATTTTAATTGATTGAATCTATCAGTTTCACTCTTTTACTCTATAAATACAGTTTTGATTTCTCTTTTGGAATATAAAATTTGGAAAACATTTGAAAGCAATCTTAGAGCTCTCATATTCGTGCCTTTCTCTGTGCATTCATAAAACTTTTCATATCATAAGGCGTTTAGATCAAGATTGTTAAAAGTTCATCAAGAGAGAAAGTTCTGAGTTAGGGAAATTGCTTCTGGACTTCTATATTGTTAAAGCTGCAGTCCAGGTTTATTCTTTTCATACACTTGTACAAAGGTTAATTGTGTAGATTGAGTTTGAATGCTGCACTGGTTACAGATAACTTGGGTTTGGTTACTGGGTGGTTAATTCAAGAGTCTATCTTGTGGTGTTGTAAGATAGTTCTTGGGGTAGATTGGTGTATATCTACTGGTTTGTATTTTCACTTGGAATTAGTGGAACTTGACAGATTTGTCAATAACTGGATGTAGCTCTGGGAAAGAGTGAACCAGTATAAACTCTTGTGTTGAATTTCTACTTTCATCTCTTTTCAATTCTTGCTTTGTTTAAAACCAAATATGCCTAATAAAAGATTGGATAAAGATTAACCATTCTTCCAAAAGAAAGAGTGTTTTTCGAAAATGATTTCAAAAGTTCAATTCACCCCCCCTCTTGAACTCAACCATTAATTCTTACAATTGGTATCGGAGCTGGTTCTTGTAAGTTACTCAAGAATTCGACCCAAGGTTTAAATGGCTGAGGGAAAGATGACTTTTTCGGAAGGAGCCTCCATCAATAGGCCTCCTCTGTTTGCTGGTGTGAATTATTCTTTACGGAAGGTTAGAATGAAAATCTTTATTGAATCTCTTGATATGGGTATTTGGGATACAATTGTTAATGGGCCTTTCAAACCAACTCATATAGTAGATGGTAAAATTGTTGAAAAAGGCTGAGCTGAATTAGCTGATGCGAGAAAATAGGAAAGTTCAATATGATTATACTTGCTAAGAACATTATTACCTCTGCCTTAAATCTTGATGAGTTTTTCGGGGTTTCTCAATGTGCCTCTGCCAAAGAAATGTGGGAGATTCTAGAGGTCACTCATGAGGGTACCTCTGACGTGAAAA